GCGAGGTGTGTGGACGAGCGTTGTCATGTTGCAAGATTATTGGCGCCAGGCTGCCTCTAACATGACAAACTCGACGCCGGAGGTGTTTTAGAGTCTGTATCTACTGAGAAGAATTTACCGTTGCCCCTCGTTCCAGAAAATCGGTCACATAAACTCGGTGAGCATCCCAAAACACAGTCAAAAGAAGTTTTTTGGCAGATGGTTGTGTTTTGAACTTTTTCGCCTGAGGAGAAGACGGATGTCGATATTCAGCACTCTGTCTTTTCTCTTCTGGGTTGTAACGATGGACCCATGACTCGTCCCCCGTCACAATATTCAAAAGAAAGTCGTCTCCTTCGTCACGGTAGCGCTGCAAAAGTTGCTTGCAGCATTCCAATCGACGCTGTTTGTTCTCGTCTGTGAGACGGCATGGTACCCATCGTGCACAGATTTTACGGTATCCCAATTGTTCAATAATGAAGCTGACACGTTCCTTGGATATTCCAATATGGTTTGCGACACGCTTTTGGGTGATTCGCCGGTCATTTTGAATCAAATTGTCGACGAGTTTGTGATGATTATCGTCTGTGGCAGTGATCGGATATCCGCTGTGTGTTTCATAACAATTATGGCTTTTCCAGGCTCGCAACCAAGAAATTTTATTGCCCATTGTTTACAGTAGACCTATCAACAGCATCATCACCATAAACAGCCTTTAAACGACAATGAATCTCAGTAGGAGTCACTTTTTCAGCACTTAAAAATTCGATAACAGCATGCTGTTTAACTCGCGTTGACATAGCACTAGAACACATCTCCATACTTCCACTTCTCGAAATACACTGGATGAACGCAACGACCTCAAACCTGCGCATGCGTATTGAGGGGGAATGTTACTTCCACATGTCACCTGGCGCGCTTCTGAAGGTAATTTCGTTCGCGCTCTACAAGCATGTGTGCATTACTTTCAGCCTACCTATGTAAAATGGTTTGCATGAGTGACACAATTAATGGAAAATACCTAAAAACCTACCTGAGACAATGTATCATCTTCAGACACTTCACACTCAGATCCAACTGGCATATCCTCACTGCTGAGATTAAAATCACCTTCAAAATCACTATGCAAGCCATCAAATTTAATTCTTTTCTATAAGCGTAACGTCAGAGGTCTGAAATAAGAGGCAGCCTTCTTGATGGAACTAGCAGCATGGCATCTTATTGTTGAAACATGTTACGAGTTCATATGATACGGAACACGCACCTGAAGAGTGAATGCTGTTCCCTGTAACGAAGCTCATGAGCTTCAGACATGCCCTGGGCATTGCTGCCAACAACATAACCAGTGGCAAGCACTTCCTCAACACAAGCCCCTCAAGTACAAGTGTCTATTCCTTTCAGGCTTTGGCTAAACAAAACATTTACATTCAACTACATTACTGCTACATTCACTTGAACAGAGGACCACCTGAAGATGACAGTCTTCTGCGATCTGACACCGTGCAGTCTGGTACACGGCTGCTGTCTCTAAGGAACCTGCCGCCTCCATCTTCAGGGTTGAACAGTAACTTTTCTACAGCCAGAGCTGGAGGAAACAGGGCTGTCCAAAACATCAGTAACAATCCACCAGGCCAGACAGAACACATCCTCAGTCAGTGTTGTGGAGATGTACATACCTTCCCGCATCATCCGCTCCATCTCTTCATGCCGCTGCTGCAGCACAATCAGCTGCGACTCCACCAAGTACTGATGGATCTGACGAGCAAGAGAAACTGGAAGGTTCACGATCAGCCTCACGTCTGCCAACATTACACAAAAAGTTACATGGTCATCTGGGACATGCGAAATTGTGTACTTTCATAGATAGGTATGTGTTTCAGAGGAACCTAATACCTCTATCTTCAGGGTGACACACTGAACACGAAGATAGCAGGTTCCTCCGAAAGAATATATTTCAGGCTGCTTTATACTAGGCCAAATGTTCTGAATCCTAAATTTCACCTCAAAAATATTATAAAAGAAAGAAGTTCTCAGAACAGAGTACACATCCTGTGTCTCCATGGCGACCAATGAGCTAACACTGTCTCTGTTGTTAGAATCATACAAAATGTGTAAATATATGTAGTCAAAATGCAATTTATTAATGTTAAAGCAGGTGCCACATAATTACCAGTGCAGTTTAAAGGGTTAAAGTGAGTACAATATGGTTAGTGTACATCTTCAGAATTGGATTTATGTAGAGTTCTTTCACCTGGGATAGAATGCCATGTAGTAGTCTGCTGAGAGTTCACCAATGTTTCAGAGGAACATATTGCCTCCATCTTCATGTTTCTTGCTTGGTTTACCTTCAACCTTGAGTCAGCATGATCCTCAGAAATGGACTACACAGCATTATATACCAGAAGAGAGAACTGTTCACGTCCATGACTGCATGAACCTCAAATCCTATATGGATTTATGGAAGCTTTTACTTTCTTGCACATGCAGTGTGTACTGGATATGCGATCATGAAAGAATCTGTAATCTCAAGATTCTCAAGGATTTACAGGTTTTCAGTACTTGCGAATAAGAAGTGGGTTTGGGAATGTCATCTGTATGCGTAAATGAATGAATATATGTACGTATGGATGTGCACCTCGAAACACACCTGAATGACTGCATGGGTTTGTTTCATATTTGGTATTTCAGAGTTTATCTGTCTTCCCTTTCAATGCCTGGTGAATCCGAACATTCCATCTAAAAGTGGGGGGGGGGGGTTCAGATCAGCACCAAGATAAAATTGTGATTTTCTCAACAGCTCAAACATTTTTTATTAAATTTATGGAGACCATCTCCCTAAACAAAACCGGCAATTTTCTCAGAATTTAATCCTTACACATTTTTCAACATGGCACTGGACATGCCAAAACTCGATGCTTCACAGAATCTTCACAGGCGAACAGCCACAGAAATTCAGAGCAGAAGCAGGTGATGTTCAGGAGATCTGGGCACTGCTTCACTGCAGAGGCAGGAGTGACAGAAAGGAGCTGTACTCCAAACTGATGCAGCTCGTCAGTTCAGAACATTTTACTACAAATGGTAATGAGCTTTTGGCTTGCAGACAGGAATCTGACCACCACAGAAACTGTCAGCATCCCCAAGAGAACTCCACACGGTCACCAAACTGGCCACATGCTAAATCAAGAAACTGCAGTGCTGTGATGGCTGCAACAGCAACTATCCATGGCAGACAAAGGCCACAAGGAATCAGGTGACCACAAACCCAAAGACAAAACAGAGGCTTTCACTCATTTCCATAACTTCCTGCTGTCTATCCTCAATGGTTCTTTAACTCTACTGGCTGTACATTGGCTAGCCCAATGTCTAATTTTTCAATACTAACACTGTTACCCGTGAGTTGAAAAATGGCCATCAATCCTATAAAGCCAGCAGATTTCAAATCCCACATTCCTGGAAGACTAGCCGATCCTATTCCTGGGTCATAAAAATGAAGGGTGAAATCATGAAGCACTCACCAATTCACATACATCTTTAATGCAACTTAAAACTGTTCACTATCTCTCTTTAATTTAAAATAACATTAAAATCACATCAATTGCTACATGTTTCAGGCCAACTTGGTCATCTTCAGGCAACTGTTTACTTTTTGAAAACCGTTGCACTGCACTAAATCGTAAATCAATACACTTCAATGTTGCTGCATATCACTGTTCACACTAGAATGTGTTTGTCTGAGAATAAAACTCTCTCCTGTCCATGTTATTCTCCTCTGGTGGCATCCATGATTCTGTAATGTATAATATATATTTACTGTCAATGTAAAGATATATCATTATTTAATGAATCTGCTACTTTTATGTGTCTGTCTGTTATTATCTTATGTACTTATATGCCCCCTTTGTATGTATGTTCTCACTAGCTGGGCATTCAGTCTGACTGTTCCCGCTTATTTATCTTACCTGGGGGTGTCTGTGCTGCTATATACAAGCAGGAACAATCACAGTGAACACCCATACAAGGGACATATGCCTAACTAGCAAGAAGATACATACAAAGGGGGTGTGTAGGTATATAAGAAAATAACAGAGACATATAAAAGTAGCAAATTCTTAAAATAAAGATATAGCTTTGCATTGACAGTAAACATAAATTATACATTACAGAATCATGGATGCCACCAGAGGAGAATAACGTGGACAGGAGAGTTTTATTCTCAAACACATTCTAGTGTGAACAGCGATATGAAGCATCACTGAAATATACTGACTTACAATTCAGTGCAGTGAGTCAGTTTTCAAAAAGTAAACAGTTGCCTGAAGATGACCAAGTAGGCCCGAAACATGTAGCAATTCATGTGATTTTAAATTAAGGAGAGATAGTGAACAGTTTTAAGCTGTGAAAAAGATGGATGTGAATGAGTGATACACCAATGCAACAGGATTCTCAAATATATCATGAGGCACAATGTCCTGCTGAAATTTGAATGGGCATTCTGACAACTCAATAACGATAGGGTGAGGTCAGTGACAAGGGCAAAGGGCTTAATGTCACATACCTTCAATCAGTGACAACAAAGGGTTTCCAAACATCTGATGCAGTTGGGACACAAACCCAGGATCCAATTCAAATGGCATCATCTCCCCATCCTCCAAGTCAGCACTGCTACTCCCCAAATCTTTGTCTACAGTGCTACTGCTCTGTATATCTGTTGCATCACCAAACTGAGGAGATGGAGTTCTCGTCCGTGGAAATCCAATGGCTCCAAGGGCACTCTCCTTCGTGATCTGACTGCTGTTTGGAGGAGAGTGTCGGGGCTTGGTGGTCACTTCGCCCATGTCCAGCAGTTCTCCATGCCGGAGCTTCTTCATCCGCAGCGTGTCTTCTGAGTAGCTGGCGTCACTTGAAGCGACACACTCTTCCAACGGCAATGCCTCTTCTGACACATGAGTCATACTGCCATTCTCGTTTCTCCAGGATTTTCTTGCTCTCAAGTTACAACGTGGTTCATCTGCTGCCTCTGGTGGGGGTCCCAAGGGCTCTGCATGAGACACATCGAAAACTTGAGGAGACTGTCTCTGGTCAACTGGGCCTTCTGTATCCTGCCCATCTGGTGACATATGTGCAAACTGTTCTAGTTCTGATTCCAGCAACAAATCAGCTGTCCAGTTCAAGTCACCATTACATTTTTCAAAAATTTCCTTCATGCCATCTTGTGGTGCACTTGGAAACATGGCTAGCAACTTAGCAAAGTTGTGGTCCCGCTCTGTAGTAGTTTGCTGTGAAGACGCTAGCACTGCAGCAGCAAAGTCATCATCCTCTAGAGTGGCCATGGAGCTCTTGTCAAGTGTCAGCTTAACTGGCATGGCCCTGTCGAAGTGTTTCAGTGGGTCAAAACCTTCATTGATATTACAATTGCGACCAGTAACAATTCTGATGCCCTCCATGGGTTGAGGGGTGCCTCTAGACCTGTTCAGTTGTGAGATGAGGATGAAGTCTTTGTAATGGGTGTTGCTGGACGTATCTGTGACTGCTCGGCTTGCAGCATCACCTGTCACATCAGAATCTTCACCACCTGCATTTGACAAATTGATCTTCTGCACTTCGTCAGTGAGCCTGTTCTTCAAAGAATTCTGCATGACTTCTTCAGATGCAAAAATTGATCTCTGAGGCTGAGGGCCTTGCGATGATTTGCATTCTCCCTGTTGAATGTCCTTATTCTCCCACGACACTGCAGGCTCTGGAACAGTTCCCCAGGCTTGCACTTCAGGCGGCAGTGTCTCTGCGTCCAGCACTTCCACATCACTTGAGTGATTCAGCTTTCTTCCAATCACCCTTCGGGGAACCCTCTGCTCCTTAGACCCACACACCTCAGGCTTTGTTTCTACCTGCTCCTCACTGTTATGTCTGGAATCTCTCTGTTCGCATGGTCCTTCCTCATTGCTCTTTGTAACCCACGTAAGGAAGTCGTATGTTGGAGCAGCTTTACATGAGGCCAATATCAACAAGTCTGTCCTGTTTTCCTTGACAGGAACTACCTCTCCACCACTGCTAGAACCTTCTTCAGAACATGCAGTCCTATAGTATTCATCTTCATTACTTTCTCTATCTGCAGGTTGGGGGCAGGGTTGATGAGTGCCAGGGGATGGGGCAAGTTCTGGTCCTGTATCTTCGAGAACAGGAGGATGGACCTCAGGATCCTCTGCTGGTAGAGTGCTGTTGCCAGTTTGTGGTACAATTCCAGATGCTAGGGCTGTCTCACGCACGTGATTTTCTTCACTACTTTCTGGCATCAGTTTCTCTTCATTTGAAGACACCAAAAGTGGATAAATTTGCAATCCAAGTGGACACAGCTCTCCTGTTTTAGCATTCACATCTTCTGCAGCTGTTACTTCCATCTTCACAGGCTCTTCTCGTATTGGTTCTACAATGTCAGACATTGCCTTGCTCTTTTCTGAGGATGGAGCTGGCCAGTGAATGGCTTCTATCCCAGACTCAGTGGGGAGGCTGCATAGCCACTGATCAAATTCATCAAGGGAGAAAGGATGTGATGCGATATTATCATCAGAATCAGTTTGCCTGGTCATACTCTGTGTCACAGCCGGTGCATTCACTGGTGAAAGTAACTCCTGTACTCCACCTTCCAGGCTGGCCTCAACCGTGCTAAAAATATCTATAAGCAAATTTTCTGCTGAAGTCTTTTCTCTGGCACTTTCTTCTACTTCAACTGGGATATCAACCTTTGAGCCAGAAAAATCAGTTGAGTCAGCTGCTAGGTTGATAAGCAAACCTTCCATCTGCTCCGTGGCTGTCTCAGGATTATCTTGCACTCCTGTGTCTTGGACTTCAGGATGGTGCTTTTGATACATCCACTTTGAATCATCCATTACTAAGATATACTCCCAGCACTGCACCCCATTGGTGACAGGTTCTGGAATATCAGCCCCATTCAGTTCTTCCTCTTCTCTGCCATCATCGCTTTGGTACAGCCACTCACTGTCACTAACCTGCCACTCTCCCAGTTCCTGGGTTTCAACTGCTGCATCATTATCATCTTTCTCCCTCTCAACTTCTTTTTCACTCTCATCCTCACTGCTGTCATCATCAGATGATCCACCACAAGTGTTCACAGCGCTTCCTTCTGAGGATATGGAAACATGTGGGGTCCGTGTACTTGCAGCTCCAGGCCTGTTTGTCGTCTCTGAGACATCTTGTTTCTTGGGCAACAGAGCATCACCAATGGTGATTCCATTACTCAGACAACTGTCTGCGACTTCTGGATCCAAAATCTGTCCTTCCTCTAAAACCTTCTTGGCAAGGAACAGTGCCAAGGTGTCCATGAGTGAAGCATTTTGAGCAGGCTGGATTGGCCGTTGTGAAGCCTGCAATTGCACATTGGCAGCTTTAGGTTTCTTCTTTCTCCTCTTAGGTTTAACTTCTGGAGGCACTGCAGCAGGAGGTTGTGGCTTTGTCTTCGTCTTTGTCTTCTGTTTGATCTGTGGTGGCAGCGGTGCACAGACTGCTGGTTGCGGTGGCCTATTCCCTGCAGAGTATTTAAGCTTAAGCTTTGTCAGAAGCAACTTTCCCGTCAGGTTCTTCTCAAAACGAGCCAGCATGTTTTCAATCTGTTTTCGCGTCACACCATGCACATTCCTGCGTGCCAGTTGAGACTCCTGGTAGCGCCACGGAGTGGATGGTTCAAGTAACTCCAGTATATATCCATTCCTCACAGCAATCTCTGCATAAGGCTGCATTTCCCAGATCTGTTAGAATAAAATTACATATCAGAACAAGTCTTATGAACTTAATGCAGTGGGATCCTGCATATACAGGGTGTAGGAATGGAAGCACTGCCCCAGCTGTCTCAATGAAGTGGGAGATGATCGATTGAACATGGAGAGGTGGCTGGTGGCAAGTGTTTTGGCAGTTACATTTGCTGTATATAAGATGGCATGACAGGTCTGAAGGAGATTTAGGTTGGAGTTTTGTGTTGCATGTATAACATGCTGGAAAATTTCACTTCTAAAAACGAACATCTAATAAATTGCATTATACCACTGTTTTTACAATGAAACCCTCCACAAGAGGGCGCTAAAACCGTCATACTCTAGCATGTACTTCTGATTCCAGCTGAAGCCCAATACAAACAGTGTACCATTTTCCATAATTTGGTGAATTTTGATTTACAGAACTCGTATATTGATACAATGTTACTGTGATTGAAATAATCAATACACACATTTTCTCCCTGCTGGAAATCCTGCACACCGTCTTTATTTAATATGTCATTTTTAGACATAAATTTGTATTTATTTGTGTAAAAACAGTTTAGCTCTTATTAAAGAAATTATTTTATCACACTTACATATGAGGATGAACAGTTTCCTCATATAATTCTGAATGATTTCCATTTAGTGAAACCACTGATCCAGTGAGAGAAAGCAGTCTGTGGACTGGGGAATAAATTCCCAACTGCGTAACATGTGGAGGTGGGTTGGAATACTTCCACTGCGGCCTTGCATGTCATAGGTGACAAAAAGGGCACCCAGTCCCTGGGGATATAATTGGGCCACACTATCACTGGGGGAAATAAATATAGAGACCCAGTTCTCCAAGCTGGGGGTTAGACACAAGGCTGATAACTTTGCTATGTAAAAAATTACTGTCATGAAATCCAAAGAAGTGAAAACTGGATGCAATCTAGCAGAACCTTCTAAGGAAGGCTACGCCTCAAAAAGGGCTGTTTTATCGACGATCATGATGCTAATATCAGGTCAGAGAAATTTACAATCCATCATATAACGTGACATGTTGCAATGTTAACAGAGATGTTACTGTAGAAGCCTATAAAAATCGTGATACTCAGAGACACGAGATATTTTCTGAACTGGCTTCACTTACCAATTATTCTACGAAGAAAACTGGTGAACAGAAAGGTATACTGAATGCTGTAACATGAAAAAAATAAATGGGACAACACGGTGGAGAACAGGGGTGCGGATGTTGAAGGGGACTAGTAGAGGAGCAACAAAAGACTACTATCCCATGTCAGGCATGTCCAACACGTCAACTGTGGGACAATTTTTGGTCAATCTCGTAGGCCTATACGGAAATTATACGTGAAAAGCATGTAAATTCACTTGTGTAATATAATATGATTTTGAAGGGAACATATGTATTAGTCATTCCTATTTTTCTGTTCTTGACACTTTGCGGACCGGACGCATGACATCATGCTTTCCGCTTTTAAACGTGGCAGACCGGTCACATGATATCCTGATTTTAGGACACGTTAGGTTGTAACACACTATACCTTGCTCTGGCGCCATGCAACTGCAATGAATACTGCGTAATAAATCCTCGGAATGTATGCTAGGTACTCAGTAACTTGACCTGGCTGGCTAGGGTCCCTACTCCAAAAGAAAATAAACTTTGCCCCTTCCAGCTGTTTATGTACCAGGCAGGAAGTTAGTAGAGGGGAATATGTTTCAAGGACAAAAGCGGTTGAAGGCAAAGCGATCTCTCTTAACTTGGTTTTCCAATGAGCTATCTGACGTGCCTTGTGGAGGAGTACTGATTAGTGACTCAGACAGTGGAAGTGACAGGGGTCAACAAAGAATTGTGGCCACAGATAACAGAAGTGAAAGTTGCCTTGTGGCTTATAAATTGTGCCATTTTCAATTCATTTTTGGTTTACAAAAACCTAAACCCTGATTCAAAATTGAAATACAAGGCATTTCTGATGAATGTGGCAAGGCTTGGGCTACAGACCAGATGGTGGCGGCAGAACCAGAGTCAGACAGACTTAGTGCAACCTAGTCCATCAACTACCACCCCACGCAGGCCTCATGTGGACACCCCTGGGCGACTCTCAGGGTGATATGCGGAAACATACCCTTGTGAAAATTGTGAAGAGTGAACATTCTATGGGGAAGCATCCTTCTAGGCAATGCCGTGTTTGCACAGTTCACAAAAAAAGGAGTATGACTGTCTACATTTGCAAGTGTGTAATGCCACTTCACAAAGGGGAATGTTTCCAGAAATATCACACTCTCAAGCACTTCTAGAAGCATTGGTAAGTGTTCTCCAAAAATTTTAGTTCATAAAATTAATTAGGAGATTTTATGTTAATTTTTAAGGTGAACAGTGCACAAGTTAGGGTAGTGGGTATAAAAATGCCGGTCCCCAGGGTGATTTAAATATTTAAATTGCCGGTCCACAAGCGTTAACAAATAAGGTATGTCTGTACTTCCAATGTATGTTGCTTTTACAACAAACATCATGTGTCGTGTTATTTTCACCAATATTTTTGCTTAAAGCGAGGTACGAAGATAGGAGGGGGTGGTAGATCACTGGCAGTTTTGACAATAAAAAGTTGATCACAATCTGTTTGAAGTTGGACATGCCTGCCATATGTGGTGAAATGAAAAATGCTACAAATTTTATTTTCAGACGTCTCAAAAGCTGCAACTTGGGAGTGGTGAGCGTATGTAAGAAACAGAGGAATCTTCACAATGAAAGAGTTTTCAAGAAAACTGAAAACTGCATGCAACAACACATCTTTCTTGAGAGTCTGGATGATTACTTCCTCAAGGTTAGAGATAAGCAGGAAAGCTGTGTTGAAAGAATGAAACACCCTTGAGGATGCACCATTGTTGCATTGTCGTTATGACACTACTAGATTCCTGTATTTTAAGTGTACTGTAAGAGAGTAAACTGCAGTGTTCCCTGTGAATTAAAAAGGCATCATGCAATGAAGATGTCTGGGGAGTGGATGCATAGCTCTACCATCCTTATGCTCAGCACCAGAAGATGGAGAGTGGACAGCTTCGTGCCCATTCTGCTTTACTCTTGAGGAAAGTCACCAGTACCCATTCAACACTAGGTGGGCCCTAGGGCTGGTCTGGATGCTGTGGAGAAGACAAAAAATTCTTTCCCCTGCTGGGAACAGAAATACAATTCCTCAGCCATTGAGCCCATAGCCCACTGCCACTCCAACTGAGCTATCCTGGCTCCCATTTTCAAGAAACAATGAGAACCAAAATCACCATGCTGCAAACATTATTGAATGAACAGAACTTTTCTGCCATGCAGTTGCCTGCTTGAGGTTACTCATTAAGTATGCCCAGAATGAACTTGGTCACAGTAGCGCACGTGGTGGTGCTATGATTAACTGCCTCACGGACTCTGGAGCCAGTTACTCTCCATGCAGCTTCTCAGGCCAGGCCTACAGAGTACTTATTCTGCAAAGGGCCACAGCCTATAATTGATTGGCTATGAGATGGACAACAGAGAGACCAAAGTTCGAGTCCTGGCAGGGTCAAAATTTTATATTCTCACATTGCCCAGACCAGACCTGAGGTTCACCCAGCCTCTTATCCAATGGGTGCTGGGGGCTCTTTCACTGGGGGGTAAAGCAGCAGAGGCATGAAGCTGACCACTCACCTCCAACTAGTGCCGAGGTCCGGAAAATGTAATCTATACATCCACTCCCCCATATGCCTTCTGGCATAGTACTGTGACATGTTGTGCAACGAAGGACCCCTCTACCTCCCCAGCGGCACATGGCGGTAACGTAGCGCTCACGTAATAGGCGAGTCATCACCCCGCCACTCTCCCCGCGGTGACGTCACGAGCGGAGCCGAAGTTAGCCGAGCCCCCGCAACCTGGTAGCTATGCAACGCGAGCCAACAGCGGTGACGTAACAGGATGACGTGGCACTCATTACGCAACAGGCAAGCACTGCAGCTATATAAGTGTGCTGCACAGCAGCTACCAGTGAGTTGTAACGTAACAGTCGCCGAGTTGAGTTGTAAGGTGGCCATCGCCGAGCTCAGTCCTCGAGCTACCTCCGAGAGTTCCGAGCAAGCCGACGAGTCAGTGTGTTATCAACAGTCCTCAAGGCAGCAGCCTGCGAGCAGAGTTGGAATCTAGCCAGCGGCATGTTACGAGTGAAAGTGTGTAATTCAGGGAGACTTGTATAGCTCCCGCGTTATTAGCACGTGAAGACTTTGGTTGTAGGGTTTGTAAAGTGTGGAAACCCGCAACTGTGTTATAATTAATTGTAGCCGTTTCTTGTAGATTGCTGAATAAACCAATTAACGATCTCTATGGCGTATTCAGTAACGAAACACGTTACAGTACATAATTAGTTAAGCACAGAGACGTTACCTCGTTACCCAGCCTATAATAATGAACTTATGTGGGGGGGCTTTGTGTATATCACAACTCAGGAAGTTCTGTTACTATCTATGCTTCTAAATACATGAAGACAAGACACTCTGTCACAGTGGCAAGTTTCTGCAGCACATATATCTAATTTTGGTATGTTCATGTTGCATAAACTGCTCCCTAGCAACACAGTGCCCCTGCTGAACATTCAGGGGGTTCTCAGTTCAAATTCTGGCCCAGAGACTGCTTATCACAAATGAGGTTTTGTGTGGGTTTTCTCAGACCTCCACTCAATTACCAGGTCATGGCCACTTCCTTCTGCATCCTATCCAATTCGCTGAGCAAGCTGACTCAGGCAGTAAACCTTCTAGCCTGTATTTGAGTGGTAAGTGGTTCAAATCATACTTGGAACACTGCCTACCCTGACAAGTCAGTATCCCTCCAGCCAAATGCTGGAACAGAACCTGAAATTAAGTCATGACCAGCTCCCACATCTTTTTCATCAGATCATTATATCATTCAATGTTATCACTGACTTAAAGGACTTCAAAATGGGGAATGCTGAACGAGTACAGGAGCAACATCAGCAGGCTCCGAGCAACAGAGCAGAAAACATAGCATCCTGAAAGCACTGCAATTATTGGACCACTAAAAATTAATCAAATGGATGATTATTTTCTTCTGGGTTGTGATACCATGCAGTTTGGTACACAGGTACCACAATTCTTAAGAAACATGCCACCTCCATGTTCTACCTTGATGGAGGCAGCATCTTCCTGTGAAACACCAGCACTCATCTACCAAACTACACAGCATTTTATCTCAGCAGACTTGTAGGATTTATAGGACTGGAAAATATATATAAGAAAGCAGTCATAATATAATTTGAGGTACTATCCCAGCATATGCTTGGAAAGGTTGAAGAAAACCATGGAACACCTCAGGCTTGATAGTCAGTGAAGCCTGGACCTGCAAACATGAAGCAGGAGTGCCACCTTCTCAGCTGTGACTTTTGATTGAACTGGGTAAAATCTACAGGAGAGTGGAAGACTCAGACTTACACACATGACCCTTGAAGCTAAGGAAGCACCATGAAATATACCAAACACACATCCAGCATCCCACAAAAATAAGCCAACTGACCTCTGTGTTTGTGTTGTCAACAAAGATAGGGCTCAGTTTATGCTCTGCTGCAGCACGAACCCGCCACTGGTTCCAACTGTGGGCATCCTGAAGCAAGCTGGGAATGAACTGCTTCGTGCGAACAAAGAAGTCATCAGTGCTGAAGACAAAATTGTTGGGACTGCAGTTCCGACCCATTGTCAGCCTGATGATTTGCGTGGCGAGGTGACTCTTTCCACTCCCTGGGGCCCCACGCATCAGCACCATTACCCTCGTACCTTCCTTGATCAGCTTCTGCACCCGCTCTGGTACAGTCAGTGGCTTTACTTGCTTCTGCTGCTCCATGTGAGAGGACGAGTGTTTCTTTGGAAGGGCATTGGGCAAGGTAATGACATTTGGCAGTTTGGGAACTGCTGTCATGGATGGCATCTGTGCAGTTTTCTTTGTTTCTGGTGCTGTCTTTCCTCTACCCTGAATATCTGATAAAGGCATGTACTGGCAAAGAGGCCCAGATGGCATCTGCAGCCTGGAGAATGCCCCCTGTGACAAGTTCACACTAACAGAATCTCCAGCGACATCATACTCCTTCTCCTCTTCTATCACTACGTCTGCATCCGAGTCGGAATCCACACAGTGGGGGCTCCTATAGGTCACCTTGATGGCACCCAAAGTGGGACTTGATGTCCTGTCTCCCCTGAAATCAAAGGCTGGATCAGTCTAAATGTTTTGTGAGTATCATGCTTGAAGTGCCCACCATCTTCTGTTTTTCAAATAATATATTTAGGGAAGTGGGTCTTTTTCTGTCATCAAGTCTATGGAGGGCAAGTTCCTACTCAGTCCCATTCACTGGACTAGCAGTCCAAACTGAGTAACAATCTTCCCTGCCCTGCCCCTGACGATAAAAATGGACAAAGTTTCTGGAATGCCGTGTTTGGAAAAACTGAACATGCTGGACAATGTCCAAAATAATTGCCATGTTTAAGGTTGCAGTCAACTTGTGAGCCATGCTGCTGCTTGTCAGCTATTTCTTATCATAAAACTGAATTTATTTTTGGTAAATATTGTGACATGTTGACCTCTACCTCCCCAGCAGCACATAGCGGTAACGTAGCGCTCGCGTGAGAGGCGCGTCATCACACCGCCACTCCCCCCCCGCGGTGACGTCACGAGCGGAGCCAAAGTGAGCCGAGCGGAGCCGACGCTAGCCGAGTCCCTGCATCCTGGTAGCTATGCAACGCGCCACGCGCGGTGACGCGGAACCGCTTCCTACTGTGACGTGGCCCGCAACAGGCAACACTGCGGCTATATAAGGGAACTGCACAGCAGCTACGAGAAAGTTGTACTGTGACAGCCACCGAGTTGTAAAGTAACAGTCGCCGAGGAGAGTTGTAATGTGACAGTCGCCGAGGGTGTTAGCAACAGTTCTCCAGTGAGCAGACTACAGCTGGAGTATAGCAGCCGTCGCGGAAAGAAGAACCGGACGTGTGTGCGATTGTGTAATTGGGAGCGTGTGATACAGCGATACATAGCTCCCCTACTGTAAACGTGTAGACTACTGAAGACAGAGTGAGCTGATTTGCGCATAGGGTTATAAATCGTGAAACCCCGCAACAGTGGTAACAGATTAATGCGATTAGGGTTATAAAGTGTGAAACCCCGCAACTGTGTGATAATTAATTGTAGCCGTTATTTGTAGATTGTTAAATAAACCAATTAACGATCTCTACGACGTATTCAGTAACGAAACACGTTACAATATTAAACAAGAGAGTTCAGATGAGAGACGATAATTGCATTAAGTTTTGGTCTGTAAGAAACAGAGAACAGAAGTACATATTCTCAGAGAAATACACCCAACACATATGCACAGCTGTATGACATGAAGTGTCCTTAGGCGATGCTGTATAGATACACAGCTAGTGTGAAATGTTTTGCAGACAATTTGTCTTCACAATCAGGGGTTCCATCAACCCTTGATAATTGAGACAGTTTCCAACATGTTGCATGCTAACTCCATCTTCACATGGCTGATGGCAAGAGAAGACTTCACTGCAAGCCAAAAATAATTATAACAGAATAATTGCCTAAACCTAACTATCAGGACCCTAAGAATAAAATTACCAAATTAAATAAAATGAACTTTCATGTGATAAATCAGTTCTCGTACCCAGCTGTCGCCTTTGATTTTGGAGCAAAATTGTTCACAGGGAGTAAGCCCTCATGCTTGAACTCCTTTCTTGGTTTTGCTTTCAATGGGAGTTCCAGCACCTTCATTTTCTTGGGCCGTGGTTTTGATGAAGCTGTGTTATTTGAAAACTGCGGTGCATTACTGCATACTGGTGACTTCCGGATATCCACATCATCTGACAGCATCATGAGAGCCTCAATTGAGGCATGCACTGAAACAATCACAATACAAGTGAACGTTTGGATGACACAAGCACAGATCAAGACACGCAAATCTGATGTGCATTTCAAATAATGTCTTTCCTTCCTTAATGAGTCCCTCTTGAAAAGCTAATAGTTGTTCATGCAGCCAATAAATTAGCAGCATTTTATGGAAGCCGATGGATAGTTTTAACTATAGGTAGTAATAATGTTAACATTAAGACTAAATAGCTTAAACTTATCAGTGACACATACTACATGCCCTGCCCATCTCATTCTCAAAGGATCTATTTGCTAACATTACATTAATTTTTACATTTATATGTATAATTAGGCTAATCTGAGAACAAAGATTCTAAGAATTACCTTGGCACTACTGCTTCATTTGGATTGTATGTCATGAATAATTTCAACGCCCTGTGTATTTAAAATCAAATTAAATTCTAACAAAATGAAAGGTATCCAAAATAAATTAATTACATATGTCATAAAGCATTTATTAGACACGTTTATGGGTTACATCATTACAAAGGGAAACTATTAAAGTTTTTTCTGAGTAAATTTCAGTGTGGGCTCCCTTGGTGGCATGACAAATATCCAGACAATATTCCACCATGTTCCATGTTACTTGAAGCATGTTTGGTGTTACCATAGCCACAGCGTCGCTTATACTGGCTTTCAGGCGTTGAAGGTCATTGAACTTAACCTGACAGACAATGTTCTTCACATAACCCCACAAGAGAAAATTCAATGGGGTTAAATCTGGCGACCTAGGAGACCAAGCGATTGATCCACCCCTGCAAATCCATCTCCCAGCCATCACTCTGTCCAGGTGATTCCTAACATGGTGAGAGAAATGTGGCCTCAGCCCATTTTGTCGGGGGATAGTCACCTGTTATACATGAACCTGTCCCCACACGGTGAACAAATGCATGCAGCACCACCAGACCTGTGTTAGCCTGTGGGCAGGTAAGTTATCTTGCCTCAGTTCTCAGAACCTTTTGCTTCCACACAATAATTTCAGGTCGATAACATAGCCACTGTCAACCTTTAAAAAACAGTATATATTTCGCTACAGTTTCCCCATGCTTTGGTCCTCATGTAGGATGTTCCCACGATGCAGCGAATGTTTAGGAATGTGGTGATTTAGGTTGTGAAACAATGTAGTTTTTGGGTATAACCAATGTTTCAGAAGCACATGCTGCCTTCATATACTGAGCTGAAGTGGGCACAAAATCAAGAAATGGCAAGTTACTGAAAAGGGCCTGTTTTGACCATCTTTCACAAACTCCACTTTCCTCATGAGAACAGCAGATCTGTCCTCATTCACTATTCCATTTTCCATCTGCAACAGTAATCTTGTACGCCCTTTACACAGTCCGTTTTCTGTCAATTTCTTCCTGTTTGCTGAGGATGGATTCCTTTCTTTATTCCCTTCTCCTTGGGTCCATGATCATACCCATAAACAAGCCCATTCCTGAACCAGCACACTTCCAGTCCATACACATATTCGACATTCATGTAGACCAAGATAATTACTGGGGGACAGTGGTACATCACAGAAAAGTTATGTAACACAATTCAAACCTTCATGGCATGACCAGTCCTATATTTGATGCAAATCATGCCGTTAAAGCATACACAGATCCAGGCATACGCACCGCAACACTGCAATACCTCAGTACACTCAACCAGCAATTTGTCTTTCGCGCTGCCACCAGCTCTATACTTCCATCACTAAGGCATGCTCTATGGTCGCTAATGATGTCACATAGCTGATGGCATACTAAAACTTAACCTAAAGTAATATAATGAAAACTACCTCACTTAACCTAACTTTCGTTCAAACCAAACGTCTTCCAACTTTGGGGGTCATATAAAGAGGCCCCACTTAACTGTTATATTCCTATTTTGCGTCGCCAAAGCACTGCCGCCTTGGCAGTAGTTGGTACAACAAAAATACTCCAATCTTCAGAGCAACTACTTATGTACACGACACCGCTTTCCAATGGCTATCTTATTTTGTCATGTTCCATTTCATCCTACTGATGTTTGTTAAATACTGTCTTTGAGTTTGGACTACATTAGTACAAGATGAGTGTGCATTACTTACGACTGAATTCACAGTTCTGTGCCACGGTCTGGATAATTTCCAAATCAAGAACATCTATGAACATATCCTGAAGCTGGTGAATCACTCCCTGTTGGTTCATAGAATTTACGTTTATTTCTGGCTGATGTGGTGGACTAGAAACGTTTTTCTTCAAACCTCCACCTCGTTCTGCAACCCAAACGCACTGTTGGTGCCCTTTGCTGTTGTTCGAAGCCATGAGTTTCGCTGATATTATGCAAAATTTTCAGGTTTAAAATCACTCTTTCAAATGAAATAGCATCTCACTTCAGGTGCAAAAAAACACACGAACATTTGACACACCTCAGATATACATCAAAGTTAACACGTTATCACCCACAGATAACTGATGATAACGTACAACGGAAATCCACTTTGTTTCCGCTTGTGTTACTCATTGCTACCGAAGAATTTATTACATAACCAATTCCGTTAAAAAAACAAACTCCGTGGCCTGTAGTCTGCAACGTAATGCTGATACTGACTACTTCACTGTACACAACTTCTGCAAATGAATATTCCGTACCTGAGCCAATGCATTCTTCACAAACTGTACAAAAAAACAAGCCACACTACTTTCTTCTATCCTCTCTACATTGCATTCCTGACGATTCCTGTTCCTTACTTTGTTAACTGTGAAATTTCTACGATCTCTCGCAGCAAATTAATGGTATCGAATATTTGACCGATGGAACTTCTGAGTGGCAAGGCCACATGAGAAAGCACAACTGTGAGTACCACCATCTGTTGAGAGAATATTGCACTCTCCTCCGCTTGAATTTATTAATTGAAACGTTTCAGTAATAAGTACGTGCCTGGCCCGCAGATTTTTTAGAAAATTATAAAAACTGATATTTGGGATAGAAATAAAAGTAACACCTATCAACGACACAAACTCTAATTACAAATTTCGTCAAAAAGGTAGCAGGAAATAAGGTAGGGAGGGAGATATTTGGATGATGAATTGAGTGGTGGACAGGCACAGTTTTGATATTTTGCTGCTTGAAATTTATTCGATAAGCATCTTCTGGTATGAACTATATAGATGTGGAATAGGTACTGAAGTATCATGTTTTGTCCATGAAATTAAACCGACGTAGATTTCGAAATTAAGTTTGAATTGAAAATGAGCAGAGCTCATTCTTATGTAAGTTGTAATTTCCGTATTTGGCAGAAACTAGTATCAACAAAACACGTGTTCTTGTGCACAAAATTCGAGTCAGGTCTGCATCTCCATGTCTAACGGCCATGTAACCTTCTGTACAGGTTTTGTGACAAATTTATTAAAATTGCTTGAAAACTTAACATATGATCGGCATCTGCATACAGCACTAAAACGGACCAATTAAATTGTAATTTTACATTCCATAACCATATACACCATTCATCTCTTTTGGTGAGTATAATGAAAAGGCATTTTAATGTGGTATAGTATTCATGACGATTTTGTTGTATACTTGTTGGTAATGGGCTCTTAAGCCTTGACAGTGAAACTGCAAAGTAGTATAATTTTACTGTGAGCAGGAAGTGTGGGAGGCAGGCCATCACGAGTGGGGAGTGGAATCCACCCCCCAGTCCCGGCACTCCTGCCATGCCACGCAGCAAGCGGCGCAGTGCTGCTGACATGGGTCCTGATGACGATGATAGACATTGCAACAAGAGATTTAGGAATACAACAAGGTCAGTACCACAGTTCAACAAGCGTATTGTGACAAGGTGTTGGCTGTCCCTCGCATTGTGAGGTTGGCATTTGGCCTTGTAGGGGATCAAAGGTGAAGGTAAATTTTGGGTCCCTCTGCTGACAGTTCTTCTGTGTGGAAGTGTGGTCAGGAAGCAGGATTGCCTCTTCTGTGCTGTAAGGATCTGGATGTTCATGTGTGCTTTATAGTTGATTTTATGCTGAGGTCACAGAATTAAGTCCCATGAATTAACCCCCTCCACTTCTCCCTCCAGCGTACGTCTCTACATTCCCTTCCAGTTACTGAACCATGTTTTCACAATAAGTTGGTAGTGATAACCTTTGCTTATGACAAGCTCCTTGCCATAGGCCAGATGAAACTGGAAGGATTACAATAGAAAACAGAAGGGGAAGCTGTGAATGCCAACACTTGAGTGACTTGAATGGTTTGGTGATGTAAGTGTTGATGAAGTTCTGTTGTGCTTTTTCTCAGTCCCTCCAGGAAAATGCCAGGATTGTGCCACAAATAAGGCTACAACCAGTTTCTTCCGTATACTTACCAGTTCATTATTCACCAGTCATCCTGATATATACTCACAGTTACCGACATCGTCATTAAATAAACTATAAATATAAATCTTACTTACTTACTCATGAAGCTGAGCCCTTCTGGAGGAGCTGCCAATTCTGCAGCTACTCAAGAATTTCCCAGCATTTTATGGAACCCGAAGGTGCATTACCATGTTCACAAGAGTCCTCCACTGGTCCCTATTCTGAGCCAGATCTATCCAATCCATACCATCCCATCCTCTCTCTCTAAGATCCATTTTAATATTGTCCACCCACCTACGCCTTGGTCTTTCCTGTGGTCTCTTTCCTTCTGGCTTTCCCACCAATATCCTATACACGTTCATCATCTCCCCCATTCGTGCTACATGACCTGCCCACCTCATCCTCCTTGACTTGATCATTCTAATCATACTTGGAGAAGAGTGCAAGTTATGAAGCTCCTCATTATGCAGTTTTCTCCAGCCTCCTGTCACGTCATCTCTCTTTGGTCCAAATATTCTCCTCAACACCTTGTTCTCAAACACCCTCAGTCTATGTTCCTCCCTTACTGTCAGAGACCAAGTTTGACACCCATACAGAACCACAGGCAAAATTATAGTTTTGTATATTCTAATTTTTATGTTTTTGGACAGCAGACAAGAAGACAAAAGGTTCTGGACTGAATGGAGCAAGCATTACCTGAGTTCAGTCGCCTCTTAATTTCCTCCTGAATCAGGTTTCGATCTGTTATCGTTGTTCCCAAATATCTGAACTGTACCACATTTTCAAAACCTCTGTTCGCTATCTTTATGTCATGATTTTGCCCTGCATTTTGGTGGCGAGACAGTAACATTAAATAAATAAATAAAATGAAAATGATGACAGTTTAAAACAGAATGACTTGCTGGCATTCCTTCTGCTGTCAGTATTGGCACTATCTGCAGTGATATGTTGGCACTGTGTTTGTATAATCCGGTAGATGCTTACCGGTTCCTCCAGAGCGCTGGTACTTACCTACCAGACTTCACAGTGTCACATCTCTGAAGATAGTGCTCTTCCTAGAGAGGGAGTCATGGGAACCTCTGCACCATGTTTGCAAACATATGTATAAGTGTTATTCTGACTGTCAAGGCATACAGTCAAAGGAACATATGAGGTCACACATGGAACCCATGACTGGCCTGTGTTTTGATTAGATAGACCTACCGTGCCTTTAACATAGGAGTGTATGAAATGCAGGCCACATGAATTACACTTTCAAGGAATGATATATGTTGATCAGGGAACAGGTTGATGTCAAGACATGATCATGGACTCTCATTCTGAGGGTTGTAGCTCAGTCCCCAGTCATTTCTTCGCCTTTGCCAATGATGAAATATTAAGCTGTAGGTCCCTCTGCCATCATTCTTATGACCGCCTTATCTTCGAGGGCACCAGAGTGAGTCCTATGGATGCCCCAAGCCCAAAAGTAGATTTATGCTCCTGCTTAGGTAGGCAGATGTCAGGAAGGTCCACACAGATGTATCTGGAGGCATTCTCCCCTCTCCACCTCCTTCGTAATCACAGTAGTTGATGATTTCTTTAACTTGGCACACATTTTTATAGTGATTTCCTGACTTTATTTTACCATACCTCCTTGGCTGCAGTGACAATTATTAGTTCAGGCAAGAGTGAAATGATTAGGAAAATATTTGTACCTAAGACACATGCAATAAGGAACAATGTAGGATATTGCATAATGAGAGTAGGCTGTGGTGTGACATGTGAGTTGGATCATGATATAAACCAAAAAATTAAAACATTCGAAGCTATTTGTGCAACAGTTTGCAAGACATGATGAGACGTGCAGCTAAGATTTTACTCTGCTGTAACTGTACCTGTCTTGCCATATTGAGGCGTGGGCGGTGATGAGCTGGGATTGAAGCACATTACATGGAGCAGAGGTTTGCTTTCTGAGAGTGATCAAGGAATCTACAAGATAACGTCATCTCAATAATGGAAGAGGAACCCAGTAATGCAAAACTGAATAAGCCATAAAGCAGTCGGCTGCATGGGATGTGCAATCTCAACCACACAGAATTTACATACACAAAAACTCTCCTGCACTATAAGCACAACTTTGCCATTAGTGCTGCACAATAGTCATATTTCTGCTAATGGAACTAAAGTTGAAGGGTCCTGTCTTCTGGGACATAACGCTGTGTAGTCTGGTAAGGTCAGTCTACATTTTGAAGGAACATGTTGCCTCCATCCTTGGCCATCATTGTAACCATTGCTGTGAGAATGTACAATCAGACAGAACTAAAATTGGCTTATATAATATGAGGGTAGAGACCATTTGCACATAGCACTTCAACAGGTCAGCGATTTGTACCATTTCAAGCTAACAGGCCTCAGCATTCATTCAGTAACAAGTCAAAAGTGAATGATGGGCTGATTCTATCATTTTGCAATTTTTGTGGTATTTAAAAATGAATAAGAAAATCAAGAATCCCACTGATTGTGAAGCGTGGGCTGTAATTCTGTTTGCTGATGTTGACTTTGCCTGGGATGTTTTTTTCCATCTCCCCTGCAGTCTGGACCTGGCTCCAAGTAATTTTCACCTGTTCACATACGTGAAGTTCTTGGGTGGCATCCTCATGCATAGCAATTAAGAAGTGAAGAAGACGGTTCAAGACTGGTTCAGTGGACTGGTGGCAGATTTTTACAACACAGGCATACAAAATCTTGTCACATGATATGACTTACTTACTTACTTGCTCATGGAGCTGAGCCCTTCTTGAGGAGCCGCCAATTCTGCAGCTACTCAAGAATTTCCCAGCATTTTATGGAACCCAAAGGTTCATCACCGCGTTCACAAGAGCCCTCCACTGATCCCTATCCTGAGCCAGATCTATCCAATCCATACCATCCCATCCTATCTCTCTAAGATCCATTCTAATATTGTCCACCCACCTATGCCTTGGTCTTCCCTGTGGTCTCTTTCCTTCTGGCTTTCCCACCAATATCCTATACGCATTCCTCGTCTCCCCCATTCGTGCTACATGACCTGCCCACCTCATCCTCCTTGACTTGATCATTCTAATTATACTTGGAGAAGAGTACAAGTTATGAAGCTCCTCATTATGCAGTTTTCTCCAACCTCCTGTCACTTCATCTCTCTTCGGTCCAAATATTCTCCTCAACACCCTCAGTCTATGTTCCTCTCTTAATGTCAGACCAAGTTTCACACCCATACAGAACCACAGGCAAAATTATAGTTTTGTATATTCTAATTTTTATGTTTTTGGACAACAGACGAGAAGACAAAAGGTTCTGGGCGGAATGGTAGCAAGCATTACTCAAGTTCAATCACCTCTTAATTTCCTCCTGAATCAGGTTTTGATCTGTTATTGTTGACAAGTGCTTGAATCTTCATGGGGATTATGTAGAAAAATGATGATAAGTTCTGAAGTAATGATATAAAATAAAAATTTTAAATCTTATTCATGTATTTTTTTTAATTACCAAATGGTCTTTACTATCTAGACCTATATATTATTAATAAATATAAGAAGTTGTTATGATACTGAGATTCTTAAAAACTACAAATAATTATTAGTATGATACTGAAATGTACATAATTGTAAAATTTCACTTCAGAAAAGTTTTTCTTTTTCTGTGGTGGATCTGGCACTGTGGTTCTCGGACAAAATGAATGTTGAGACTCAAGCTGCAAGAGGCATGTAATCATTGGTGTAGAGAGAACTGGAAATTAGACGCAGAAAGATCACTGGATGAAAGGGTACCGAAGCAAATAATGAAACACCAGCCGAGGCTGCCTAGAGAAAGTTGGATAGAAATGTGAGACTGGGAGAGGCTTAGCCTGATCCATGAAAGAATATGCCAAGGAGAAATAAGGGAAAGACACAGCAAGGAACTTTGTGATTTATGCAGGTTGCTAAGTGTTGTTAGGGCAGTGAAATGTAGGAGGCTACAGTTTTGGTGAGGGAAGGTGGTCACTCTGAAACCCAAGAAGAAGATGAGAGTGTTGTATCCCATGTCTGATTTTGATATTAGTGGTATTGAATCTTTCAGCTGTGCTACCAGAGAGTAAAACATCTTGACTTATTCAGGCCTTCCAAATGATTGCTGGGTTAGTAGTACCTTTAGATTGACCACAGTAAGTGAGATGCGAGGTTTTCGCAGTTTCACATCTGAGAGGACAGCAGTCTTCATAGGTACGACAAATTCCAACCAATCCTGGTTGGACTTTAATGACTGTGTGATGTTAAATATTGTCTTTGAATGATACACTTTCATATACCCTTCAAAGTGCTTTAACATTATAAAACTCAGTGTTTTGCACACACAGCATATTTGTGTGTTCCTTATGATCACTGCAGTAAACCAGTATTTCCCTAAACAGTATTTATCATTGGTCTTTGTAATGAAGACATATCTTTTCTATGAGGTAGGAACTGAAATTTTAAAATTACATATGTGAACTTCAGGCTTCAAAAGGGAAGAATAGCCAGACTGTAAAAGAATACAGTGATGGAAGGAATGATAATTTGAGGTTAGAATTGTCACAGTATATATTGGTGTAGGCTGTAGCCTTGCCAGGCTATAATTAGCCTGCATGATGGTGTGCCAAGACTCACAATACAGCTGACACAATCAGTCTGGGCTCCTGCAGGTCCAGCTGTATGGGGGACAGATCTGGGTAATCAATTTGTGTGTTGTCTGCTGAGATAGCTGTAAGAAGACACAAACCAGAGAGCCTAGCTGTAGATGTACCACAAAACACTTACTGTGCCACAAATAGACAATAGTACATTTGTGTGTTGGCAACACTGGTATATCAGAAAGTCTGTATGGTCTAATACATTTATTTCAGTTTAGGTTAATTATAACAAATGTCATCAGAATTAGTCAAATGATGTAGGAGTTCAGAGGATTTTCATATTTACTGGGAAAAGGTCTTAATCTTCTATACTAAATTTCAACAGCATCTGTTATTAAAGCTGAATTCATATAGGACAGAAATGTGATATGTGGTTTATTACAAATCTGAGAGTAGAATAAAGAAGACCAAAATGTTTTGTTAAGCATTGAACTATGTGAAGTGTGTTACATCAAGCAAAATGTGTCATCCAAGTCACAGTATAAAGACAGAGAGACAGGAGAATTTTATAACGGATCTTGGCCGGGAGGCCTGGATCAGGTCTCTGTATGTCAGTCAAGCAAATTTTTGGGTTTCAGTCATGGTGAATGAATGAGCTGTGTAAATAGATATGATTGGGTCTTTTTTTTTTTTTGGAAAGTAATTAATATATATATATATATATGACTTACTGGAGGTTTTCACAGTGAGGAGTATGAACATTACTGTCTTGTAGGATGTGACACCATGTAGTCTGCTATATCTCAGCTGCTATTTCCCTCCTGAGCACAGAACCACAGAAGATACAGTTGTGAAATTTGGTCCAGCACCCTATGTAAGGGAAGATCACAGAGAACAGGGAGTCTGGGCTGAAGAGAGAGGTAGTGACCGGAGGGTGGCAATGATTTGCACTCTTCACCAGATGTTATTAGGGTTGTCAACCCAAGAACGATAAGATGGGGGAGACCAGGAATACAAAGAACATTTGCCAGAAAATGAAAGAGATTTCATAGATGAGAGGATACTATTAAAATGGGTCTTAAAGATGTAAGGTGGGGGGATGTGAACTGGTTTTATGTGATACAAGACAGGAACCTTCAGGTTCCATTAAATTCTAGAACTTTTTGATTAGCTTAGTGACTGTTAGCTTCTCAAGAATACTGCTGCACTGAGTTCTCTCTCGTATGTCAAGACCACAGAATTCTGAATATTCATAAATACACTGAATAGTTGATCCATGTAATGGTAAAATAGTAACAATCGCCACTCATATTTGGGAGTTACCCAGTTCAAATTGTGGTCATGTTACTAGCTGCCCAGCTACTCAGTCTGTCATAGCAAATGCTGGAATAACACCTTATCATTTGGAACCATCACATTTATCTGAATGCTGTTTAAAAATTTGGTTCCTGAATTATGAAGAAGATTCTGCATCTCCATTACAAAGACCAGCCAGCTAAATGCTAAGTAGGGAAATAATCACTGTTTATTGTGACACTTACATGAAATGCACAAATACACTGTTTGGGCAAAGTGTAAAGTTTTAATGTTAAACAGTTGATACTTATAATTACCACTATAATTTAAAGTGTTGAAAGGGGCCATGACTGTTTCCTTCTCAATTATCCACAGTTGTGTTGTTACTACACTGCACAGTTGAGAAAGCATCATTAAATAAACAAAGCTACAGATATGAGCATTGATAACATTGCATCATGTGTTGCAGTGTACGACGGTTCTCCAAGACTGAGGATACATCTTCACCGTTCAACCAGAAACGATGTATCACCTGGTTTAGAGAATATACCTCACCGGATGATCCTGACGTGTTAGGTGAGTTCATGCACGGATCTTGAAGCACATATCTCATAGTTTTATTATGTTTACACAGCAACCAGAAACACACAGACTGAACATTACAGCTTCTGTAACTGAGGATTTCTATGGCTCCTTGCAGTCAGTCCATGATATTTGGAGCATAACACACGCCAACAGCTGTTTTGGTGCCGGGGTATTTGGAGCTGATTTCATATGAATTTGATGCCCTGAATTCAAATATGGCATTAGTTTTTGCCTAGGAGCTCAAATTTTTAAGATATAACATTTTGGTGAAATATACGTTACACTATTTTAAGTTAAATCAGTGGATCAAATAAAAAAACTCAACATGGAATTTTTATTACTATATTATAATTATATTTTTAT